GTTGTTGTTGTTGTTGTTGTTGTTATTGTTGTTGTTGCTGCTGCTGCTGTTGTTCTTGTTGTTGTACTCGTTGTTGTTGTTGTTGTTGTTGTTGTTGTTGGTTGTTGGTTGTTTGCTGTTTGTTGTTTGTTGTTTGTTGTTTGTTGGTTGTTGTTTGTTGGTTGTTGTTTGTTGTTTGTTGCTTGTTGTTTGTTGTTTGTTGTTTGTTGTTTGTTGTTGATGGTTTGTTGTTTGTTGTTTGTTGTTTGTTGTTTGCTGTTTGCTGTTTGCTGTTTGCTGTTTGCTGTTTGCTGTTTGCTGTTTGCTGTTGTCGTCGTCCCGCCCGCGACCCGCCCCGCGACCCACCCGCGACCCACCCCGCGACCTACCCGCGACCCGCCCGCGACCCGTCCCGCGACCCACCCGCGACGCACCCCGCGACCCACCCGCGACCCTCCGCGACCCACCCGCGACCCACCCCGCGACCCGCCCGCGACCCACCCCGATACCCCCCCGGCGACCCACCCGCGACCCACTGGCGACCCGCCCGCGATCCACCCGCGACGCACCCCGCGACCCACCCGCGACCCACCCGCGACCCACTGCGACCCACCGCGACCCAGCCGCGACCCACCCGCGACCCAAAGTTTTCGTCGCCTGCGGCGGGTTCCTTATGCATTGGTTCCAGGTGGAGAAGTCGCGACCCACCCGCGACCCAAACCGCGTCCAGTGTACAAGTCAACTTTTTTTTGGCCCCGCGGCGTTCCGTTTTTGAATTCCTTCCAGGTGGAGGCCCAGAGCCCACGACCCACCCGCGACCCAAACTACGTTCACTGAACAAGCCAAACCTTCGGCGCGTGCGGCGGGTTTCTCTTGCATCGGCGACCCACCCGCGACCCACCGGCGACCCGCCCCGAGACCCAGCCGCGACCCACCCCGCGACCCACCCGCGACCCACCCGCAACCCACCCGCGACCCACCCGCGACCCAGTCGCGACCCATCCGCGACCCACCCTGCGATCCACCCACAATTTTCGGCGCCTGCGGTTTTTTTTTTTTTTTTTTTTTTTTTTTTTTTTTTTTTTTTTTTTTTTTTTTTTTTTTTTTTTTTTTTTTTTTTTTTTTTTTTTTTTTTTTTTTTATAAATATAAATAAAAAAAAAAAAACATTCCAGGTGCAAAACCTGCGACCCACCCGCGACCCAAACCGCGCTCACTGTCACAGTGAAGGGGCCCGAACGGTCATTCACGATCCCTGGATGCGTGGCTGAAGTGGGGATGCACGGCGAGGATTCTTTGTTGTTGTTGTTGTTGTGGTTGTTGTTGTTGTTGTTGTTGTTGTTGTTGTTGTTGTTGTTGTTGTTGTGTTGTTGTTGTTGTTGTTGTTGTTGTTGTTTTCGTGGTGTTGTAGTTGTTGTAGTTGTTGTAGTAGTAGTTGTTGTTGTTGTTGTTCTTGTTGTTGTACTCATTGTTGTTGTTGTTGTTGTTGTTGTTGTTGTTGCTGTTGTTGTTGTTGTTGTTGCTGATGCTGCTGCTGCTGCTGCCGCCGCCGCTGCTGCTGCTGCTGTTGTTGGTGCTGCTGCTGCTGTTGTTGTTGTCGTTGTTTTGTTGTTGTTGTTGTTGCTGCGGTTGTTGAACTCTCATTCTTGAAGAATAATTATTGTTGATCCCCCCCCACCGGTGCACATTGATTTTTTTGCGATTGAAGTGCCACCCCCGGGGCTCGCACCCTGTTTTTTCTCAAGGAAAGTCTTCCTGCTCAAACTGTGCCCCTGCCCCCCGGGCTACAACAACAACGGCTCCCGCCTGAGACTTCCTCGATTTTTACTCAGGACCCCCGCTCCCGCCTGAGACTTCCGCGCAATTTACTCAGGAAAGGCGCTCCCGTCTGAGACTTCCTCGCAATGTAATCAAGACCCCCGCTCCCGCCTGAGACTTCCGTGCAATTTACGTGGGAACGGCGCTCCCGCCTGAGACTTCTTCGAATTTTACTCAGGACCCCCGCTCCTGCCTGACATTTCCGCGCAATTGACTCAGGAACGGCGCTCCCGCCTGAGACTTCCTCGCAATTTAGTGAGGACCCCCGCTCCCGCCTGAGACTTCCGTGCAATTTGCTCAGGAACGGCGCTCCCGCTTGAGACTTCCTCGCAACTTAGTCAGGGCCCCCGCTCCCGCCCGAGATTTCCTCACAATGTACTCAGGACTGCGCTCTCGCGTGCGACGTCCTCACAAATTATTCTGGAATTGCGTTTCGGCGCTCAGGAACCACGCACGCGCCAAGGACGCCTTCACAACGTGGTATCTTCCCTCTTCCTTCGTCCTTCCCCCTCCCCTTCCTCCCACTCTCCCTCGTTCTTCCCCTCCTCCTCTTGCAGGGCCCGCGCCAATTCCAATGGCGGGCAGAGAGATGTACGCCCCCGAAGGATTGTCCGCCCGTTCCGGTTTGCCCGTACGTCTAAGCCCGCCGGCCCCAGCAAAGAGAAATAATCCCCCCGAAAGGGGTGTGATCGAAGACGAAGAGGGCGGGTTTCGAGGGTGTAGGGTATACGTGTTGAATGACTCGCGGGCAAGTAAGAGCGTACAGCCTTAAAATGGTTGTTGAACATTATTTATTCTAAAGAATAATTATTGTTGGGCCCCCTGGTGCGCGCCCCCCCTGCGCCGCCTAGGCCGCAGCTACATTTTCATCATTTTCGTGAGGAAGCCTCAGAAAAGAGGGTGTGTACAGGATCCGGTTGTTTTGTTGTAATCCGCTTTCCCTTGCAAAAAACAATAGAAAATGACATTTCTTGTTCTAATATAATCAAATTTCAAGAATCCCTTGCAAAAAATAAGGTAAAGTGGACATTCGCGCGCGCAAGACGAAATCCTTCCAAAACCTTAGTGTTCGCAGCGATTTTAACATAAAAACATCAAAAAACCAATGGTTTTTCAACAAAAAATTGTCAAAATCTCATCCCGCGCGCTCTTGCGGATTCGTAGGAAACCCAACACTTTTTAAACATTTCTGTCAAACGGGCTTTTGCGAGCAACTTTTTCGAACTTCTGCGACAACGGTTGCGCACCTGCCAGGGCCATCATCCCTGTCAAATAATACCATGCGGGACACATTAGTTTTTTCTTCGCGCGCGCACGCCGAAATCTCCAAAAACCATTTGGCTTCTTAAGAATTTTAGCACCGCGCATCATAAAATCACACGAATCGCACCGTAGGTCCTCGAAAAACACCTGCACGACTTTTCAAAATTTCTACCCGCGCGCGCTGTCCGAATCGCTCCATGCGCCAGTGTAGTAGCCACGGTCGTCCGCAGACCACGAAGTGAAGTGTCCGAACGTCATAGGGCGGGAAGCTGGGTGTGGGTGGTGGCGAAGAGTCGTTTGGAAACTTGGTAGAGCTTGAACCGGCCCCCCCACAAAGTGGGGGTATTGTCCCGCCTCCTATGAAAACCCTGGCACTGGTGAGAACGGAGTGTCCCCAGTCTTAAATGATTGTTGTTGTTGTTGTTGTTGTTGTTGTTGTTGTTGTTGTTGTTGTTGTTGTTCGTACTGGAACCCGTATTCCTAGGTAGTATGAAGCCGGAGGGGTTTCCCGTTTCCCGTTTCCCGTTTCCGGCCCCCCCCCCCCCCCATGGGGCCTCCAGCTAAGGTCCGTACAAGAGGGTAGGGACAGCAAGGTAGAATGGGGCCTCCTTGCCTTGTTGTTGTTGTCGTTGTTTTGTTGTTGTTTTGTTGCTTCGCCCCCCCCCGCTCCGCGACCCGCCCGCGACCCACCCGCGACCCGCCCGCGACCCACTCCGCGACGCACCCCGCGACCCACCTGGCGACCCACCCGCGCGACCCACCCGCGACCCACCGGCGACCCAGCCGCGACCCAGCGGCGACCCAGCCGCGACCCACCCGCGACCCACCGGCGACCCACCCGCGACCCACCCGCGACCCACCCCGCGCCCGCCCCCTCACTCTTATCCGCAATTGCGGGTGCTACGTATTTCGCCCGTTTCCGCATTCGGCTTATCAGCCCAGGGGGTTGTTTGTCTGTCGCGTTCCGACTGGATGAGCGCGTGCGTGACTGTGGTAGAGATCGCAGGCCAACGGTTTCATGCATGAGACTTTTATCGGTTGGCTCAAGTTGAATTCGCCTTCAGGGGGAAAAAGGTTCGTGCTATAGTTCCAGGATCAGAGTATATTACTTGTGCATGAGCAGCGCTGCAGTGCACCCTCCTGTCCCAAGTCCCGTCCCCACGCGCCCCATGGAAGTCTTCTTTGCTACATTCGGCGCCCCAGTGCAATGCCGTGACAGTTGGGCATGCCATTTTGGCGAGAACCGCGCTCTGAATTGAACTTGCCCGCCTCGCCGTCCTCCTGAGCTCCCTGTGCGCTGCCTGGCCGGTCCTTTCCCGTTACAGCTTCAATGATGGACGCGGCCCGTTTCCAATATGTGGCCATCGCCCATAGCGCTACGCACAATCATGTTTACAGTTTGCTGCAGTTCAAGGATGGAGGGCGGTCCGTTTTCAAACTTTTCTTCTCGACCTAGCGTCGTGCGCATTCGTCGAACACATACTTGTAGGCGGATCCTTTTTTTCATGTAGCTCTCGCTTCAGCGCCGCGCAAATTCGTCTCAAACGTTTGCAGTAGTTTCAAGGATTCGTATGGTTGAAGTCCCAAGAATGGTGTTCTGTGGTACAGGGCGCAACAGGGGCGTTGATTCGCGGTGTTGACGTCCCAGGAATAGTGCCCTCGCACGATTTAGGATTGTCCGGTCGCAACAGTCACTTTGATTCGCGGCCTTGAAGCCCCAGGAACGGTGTATTGGTAAGATTGGGGACTCAAGCGGTTGTCTTCCAGTTGGGCAGGGACTCATGAGGAGGAAACCTGGAGGGAGTGTTCATCGCAACATCGTGGATGCGCCTTGGACTCGCCCTGGTCTTCCTCCTCCTCTTCCTCCACCTCCTCCCTTCTCCTCCCTCCTCCCAACCCCTCCGAAGCGAAGCAGAACAGCAAACCATTCCCCCCCACAAGACTTCGTGGAGCCCGACTCCACGCCGGGCGTCATGACCTGGGAGGAGCGCCGCGGCGGCGCCCGCGCCTCCCCGTCACGTGCCTCGCGGCGAGACCCCGCCGCGGCCCGGCGGACGCTTTCTGGCCCCTCGCTCGGCCTTCCCCGCGGTGCTGCCGCTCCTCTTTCTCCTGCTCCTCCCCTTCGCCGCCTTTCGCCTCAGACTTCCGGGGAGGCGAAGAGGTACCGATGCCGATGCCCTCGCCCCCCGTTCCCGCACTTCTTGGGCCTCCCGGGAGGCCCCCGTCGCCACCGCCGGACTCGCCTCGAAACTCTGGTCAGAACGTACCCCAGGAGAGGTCGGGGGAGTGTCAGTATTGGTACCTTTGGATTTCCCCATCCCCACTTTCACAGGGAACTGCTTGACCGTATTAGCGAGCGGCAGCAAGCCAGGAGCGAGCGCATCCGCGGCCGCGTATGCTCAGGTGTCGGCATCAGGACACGACCAGTCGTCAGGGCTGCTGCCCGAGTAGAGGAAGAGACCCTCGTATCCATCCCCGCATCGTTTCCAAGGGACCCCCGGCGCACTGGACCCACGCCCGCCCTCGCACGAGCTGGGCCATCTCGAAGGGCTGGAGGTCACGGAGGGAGGCGAGCCAGCCAGGCCGTCAAGCGCCGGAGAATCTGGGCCGCCGGGGAGCGCCTTGGGGCCATCTGGAGGGAGACAGAGCGCGCTCGGAACCTCACGGCGCACGGGGGACGTCCGAGCGATGGCAAGGGCATGTCGGCGGCGAGCGAGGGTGGGGGGGAAGTTAGAAGAAGGCCTTCTCAGAAGGCCGCGGCCGAGTGTGAGAGGAGCCGCCCAGGGCCGAGCGATGCCTGCGCGGTGTCGGAGGCCAGCGTCGGCATCGACGCGGCAGGGGCCAGCCGTGAGCATGTCCCCGGGCGCTGGGCCCCTGTGCTGGGGGGGCAGCCTGTCGGGCTGGAGCGGTACGGTCCCAGGGTGAAGCTGCCTGGGGGCGCCGAGAACTGAGAGACGCCCGAGTTCGGTTGTGTCTCCTGTGGAGGCTCTGGGGGTCTGGGTCCTCTTCCCCAAGTCGACTCCTGGACCTGTCCCGGAGTACGCCCCGGCCAGCATCAGAGATTGGTGGGAGGGGGAAGACGGTCGTTTTGGTGCGGATGCATTTGGCTTGCCTTGTGAATTTCTCTTCTCTCCTTCATCTCTCTTCTCTAACCCCCACCTCCTCTTGCTGCTCCTTCTTGCTCCCCCTCCTCCCTCTGCCGCTGCTTCTCCTTCAGTTCCTCCTCGTCGTCCTCCTCCTCCTCTTTCTCCCTCTCCTCCTCAGGCTCGGACCGAGCAGCACAGAAAAGCATTCGGTGAGGAAAAGGACATCCATCTCTTCCTCATCTCCTCATTCATGTCCTTCTACTCCTGTTCCGCTTGCTTCTCCTCCTCCTCCTCCTCCTCCATCTCCTCTATTTCCTCCATCTCCCCTGCCTTCTCCTCCTCTTCATTCTCCTCCTCGCCTTCATCTCCATTTCCTCCTGCGCCTCCTTTATCTCCTAGTCCTCATTCGTACCTCCTTCTGTTTTGAGAGTCCTCTGTTCTCGCAGCCTCGCATCGTCCATGGCCCCTGCCGGATGAGGCGCTGCGTCTGAACCTCCTCTTTCTCCCCCTCATCTCCTCCTCCCCCCCCCTCCTCCTCCTCCTCCTCCTCCACCTCCTCCTCCTCCCCCTCCTCCCTCCTCCTCCTCCTCCTCCTCCTCCTCCTCCTCCTCCTCCCCTTCCTCCTCCTCCTCCTCCTCCTCCTCCTCCTCCTCCTCCTCCTCCTCCTCCATCCGTTTTCCTTATGAATAGCTCCTCCCTGTCGCAGCCCCCGACGTGTCGGTAGGGCGGGCTGTGTGTTTTTTCTCCAGGTTCCCTCACTGAGATCCCGAGGCTTGAGACCCTGGAGCAGCTTCACGCACGGAGTGCGGGTCCTTCCAGGCATGTGTGGCTCTTGCTCCAGCGCCGCGCACACTCGCCTGAAGAGCTCGCAGCAGCTTCACGGATGGAGGGCGGGCCTGTTTCAACATGCTGCTCGCGCCATGGCGCCACGCACACTTTTTTCATACTTTGCAGCAGTTTCACGGATGGAGGGCGGGTAGTTTTCAAACTGTGGTTCTCGCATCGACGCTGTGCGCATTCGTTTTACACGCTTGCAACAGTCTCACGGGTGGAGGGGCCAATTTCAAAATGTGGCTGTCGCCTTAGCGCCGCGCCTTTTTGCTTCACACCTTGCAGCAGTGCGAAGGATTGAGGGCGGTTCCTTTCTAGAATGTTGCTCTCGCCTTACCGCCGCGCACATTTGTCTTACAAGTCTGCAGGAGTTTCGAGGATTCGTCTGGTCGAAGTCCCAGGAACGGTGTTCTGGGACGGTTCAGGAATGTCAGGGCGTAACAGTCACGTTGATTCGCTGTGTTGAAGTCCCAGGACTAGTGTTCTCGCACGATTGAAGATTGTCAGGACGGAGCTGATACGCTGATCCGCTGCATTGAAGTCCCAGGAACGGTGTCTTGGCACGATCGAGGATTCCCAGTCGGTTGTCTTCTGATTGGTGCCCCTTCCCGCAACGGAGATCAATTCTGTCAGGGACCCGATGAGAGGGAACTGATGGGAAGGTCTGTTGCAACATCGCTTCTGTGTCCTGGGTGTGAGCTGGTCCTCCTCCTCCCACCCCTCCCCTCCTCCTCCCCACTTACCAAACCACCCCAACCCAACCCGACGTCCTCAATTTGCCCTCCATTTCTAGTGGGGGGGGGTCGGGGAACATTGAGAAAACACATGGGATCCGTGCCCCCCTCCAACCCGAAATTCGGGTCTCCGGGTTGGGTTGGGGTGGTCTGGCAGGTAGTCACCTCCTCCTCCTCCCACCCCTCCCCCTCCCCCTCCTCCTCCCCTTCCCTCCTCCCCCCCCTCCTCCCTCCCGGCTCTCCTGTGGGCGTCCTTCGGCCCGGCCGTGGCCGCGGTGCCCCTCGCTCGGCGCCTTCCCCGCCCGCGTGCGCGCGCCCGTCGAGAGGAGCTGCTCGGGCACATGGACCAGCTGGCGGACTGGGGCCGGGACTCGATCAAGGCACGTTCCGCCTTGAGCAGGGCCTCTGCAGGACCAGCAAAAAAGGGACGTCGAGGTGGTCAGACGCCTGGCCAGGGAACCTGACAAAGATGTGCAGAGTCCAGCCACATCGCTCATGTCCACAGCGTTGGCTTGACGCCAGGTGTGGTGCATCAATTTCAGCTTGACCGAACAGGTTGATTGCCCCCCTTGACGTCCGTACGGGGTGTTCTGCAGACCTGACCCCCCAGCCCTACTCGAGTTCCGCCTTCTCTGGGCCCCCTAACTCCGATTACACGTTAGAGTGACCCGTCGCCGGAGTGACCTTTGGAGCGGGCTCACGGGTTCTCCCCGATCGCTGAATGAGATGCGACAGCAACGGTTGCGCGCTTGGCTCGGGCCCCCTCGCGCCCCCCCTAAAGCCGCGCACCAGAGGTCACTCTTACCCATGGTCACTCGTGCGTGTAGCCGACAGATGGGGTCCGAGTAGATGGGGTCAGATGATCATGCCAGATCGTCGATGCATCGGCGATGCGGCTCGATGTGAACCCCGATTTTCTCGACGTCGACGTCGCCGATGTATCACCGACGTCGACGAAGCATCGCCAGGGGTGCGTCATGGGGGAGTTTTCCCAAGGTGGGGAGACGGAGCGCTCCCAGCTGGGTACTCACATTTTCTTCTTCCACGTGCCGTCAAGAGCGATTTTTTCCAACAGCTCAGTTCTGCCCCAACTAACCTTCCCTGACATCCGCCGATGTTTTTTTTTTTTTTTTTTTTTTTTTTTTTTTTTTCCAATTCGCGACCCCAGAGGTCCCAACCGCTTCCCCTGGGGTATTTTGTTCCTCCCGATCTGTTTTTGCTGGTCCCTGGGTCCGGTAACGGCCCCGGGAGGCCGAAACTGAAGGAGAACGCCAGGATCGAATCAATGATATCATCGGAGATCGGGGATTATGTCTCCCCGATCCAGATCGGCCTCGCGCAGAGGGGGAGGGGTAGGGGGAGGGGGGAAGGCTTCTTAGAAGCCCCCCCTGCTTCTTAGAAGGCGCGGGCCTTGTCTGTAGATGCAGGGGTGGCGCCTTCTAAGAAGCAGGCTCCTTCTGAGAAGCCTTCCCCCCTCCCCCTACAGTCAGGCCGCTGAAGAAGGAACCCTTTCGTTGGGGAGGGGCTCAGTGTTCCTCAGGCTTCCTGAGGTTGCACATGGGGAATCTAAGATTCTCCTGTGGCAAGGAGGGGCCTCGCTTCTTATTCAGGGTTCCGTATGGCAGAAAGAGCGTGTTCTGCCGCTGCTGGCAGAAAACCTGGGAAGGGGGTCACTGGGGGTTTCCAACCCGCCCCCCCACCTCGAAAACCGGGGGCGAGGTCACTACTGGTTCGACCCATCCCGGTCCATCATGAAAAGCGGGGGGGGGGTCACTACCGGTTCGAACCCCCCCTCTTCGCCGCCGGCAAACGACTCCCCCTCCTCCCGAACTCTGGATGGGGGACTGGTGAGGACAGTGGTTGGGACGGTTGTGGGGGGGATGGTGGTGGGGAGTGAGGACAGTGGGACAGAGGTGGGGGCAGTGGGGACAGTGGGACAGAGGTGGGAACAGTGATGGGGACAGTGGGGACAGTGCGACGTCGGGGCACTCGTGGGGACAGTGGGGACATTGGTGGGAAGAGTGTGGACAGTGGGACAGTGGCGGGAACAGTGGGGATAGTGGAGACAGTGGGACAGTGGTGGGGACGGTGGTGGCGGGGACAATGGTGAGGGGACAGTGGGACAGTGGTGGGGGCAGTGGGGACGGTGGGACGGTGGTGAGGACTGGTGGTGGGGACAGAGGTGGGGGCGGTGGTGATGACGGTGGTGGGAAAATAGGACAGTGGTACATTGGGGAGCGTGGTGGGGACAGTGGGACAGTGGTGGGAACAGTGGGACAGTGGAACAGCACAGTGGGACAGCGTTCGGGACAGTGGGGACAGTGGGGACAGTTGTGGGGGCACTAGGGACAGTGGGACAGTGGTGGGGGCAGCGTGGACAGTGGAGAGAGTGGGACCGTGATCGGGACAGTGGTGGGGACAGTGGGACAGTGAGACAGTGGCGGGGGCACAGGCGGGGACAGTGGGGACAGACGTGGGAACAGTGGAGACAGTGGGACAGTGGTGGGAGCAGTAGGGACAGTGGGACAGTGGTGGGGACGGTGGTGGTGGTGGGGACAGTGGTGAGGGGACAGTGGGACAGTGGTAGGGAAGATGTGTGAACAGTGGGACAGTGGTGGGGACGGTGGTGCTGGGGACAGTAGTTGGGACGGTGGTGGGGATGGTGGTGGGGAGTGGGGGCAGTGGGACAGTGGGGAGCGTGGTGGGGACAGTGGTGACTGGGACAGTGGTGGGAACAGTGGGACAGCTCAGTGGGAAAGCGGTGGGGACAGTGGTGACAGTGGGGCTGTGGTGGGGACAGTGGTGACAGTGGGACAGTGGGGGGGACATTGGGAACAGTGGGGAGAGTGGGACCGTGGTGAGTACAGTGGTGCGCACAGTGGGAACAGTGCGACAGTGGTGGGGGCACTGGTGGGGACAGTGGGGACAGTGGTGGGAACAGAGGGGACAGTGGGACAGTGTTGGGGACGGTGGTGGTGCGGACAGTGGTGAGAGCAGTGGTGAGGACGGTGGTGGGGACCTGGGAGTCGTTTTCCAGCGGCGAGGGGGGGGAGGATTCGAACCGGTAGTGACCCATCCCGGTTTTCTGGAGGGGGGGGGTTCGAACCGGTAGTGACACCCCCCTTCTTTTCATGATGGACCGGGCGGGGGGGGGTTCGATCGGGGGGGGATTTTCGGGGGGGGGGGGGAACCCCCGGGTTCCGGATGAAGAGGGGGGAACTTCCCATAGGAAAGCGGCGGTGGATCACGCTCTCTCCGAGAAGCCTTCCGCGCTGCCCCCCGCAGGCGGGCCGCTGCAGAGGGAGCCCTTGTCGTTGGGGAGGGGCCCCGTGCCCCTCAGTCTCTTGTTCTCTGGCCTTCCTGGGGTTGTGTGCACGGGAAGTCGAAGCTCAGCCTATGGGAAGGAGCGCCCCCGGGCGCCCCGAGGCGGGGCCTCTCGGGGGGGGGGGTCCGCGCTCCGTGGCTTGCCTCTGGCGCACCGCGGAGCCCTTGGTGGCCTCGCTCTGGCGCGGCCCGTCGCAGGGCATCGAGTCGCTGCCTCTCCGAGTCGATTCGACCTTGACGGCGCCCGATTCCGATGCGATTCGGCTTCGGATTCCGATTCGGGCTCCGATCTCTGCATGGAGGCCTGCTGGGCTGCCGATTCCCGCCGCCTCGACTTCTCCAGACTCGCCCGCCGATTTCCGCCGATCCGACTCATTTCAAGCGCCGATCCGACTTGACGACTCGACTCCAGGGGCGCCGACCAGCAGGCACCTGGCCAAAACAGCACGCACGAAGCAGGCAGACAGACCGGGAGTGGACGTCCGAGCAACGGCAAGAGGGGTGGTGGTGGTGGATGCGTGGTCGTTTTTTCATTGGCTGTTTTGCCGATCGGCACGGGCCCTCGCAACCCCCTCCTCCCCCCTCGTGGAGTAGATCTTGGCTGTTCATGGCGCCTGTTTCAAGCAGGTGGGGCCTACCCCATAGGACGCACTGCTGCAAGCAGGCGCCCTCAGCAGAGGTCCGCAGCCAGACCCCCTCCCTCCCCCCCGCCTCCTGCCCGAATGTCTTGGAGGTGGATAGACCTCCTACCCTGACACGTCGATTAAGGAATTGGCAGTTTTCGGTTCGCGAGATGGCGTCGCGGCCGTCATTTTTGCGGGTCCAGGTCCGTCGGTTTCGGTCCCAGGCTGTTTTCACTGAGGGGAGGTTTGCTAAGGGGAGGCTTGTCCACCGCCGAACGTCGAAACGCCGGACACGAAAACGCTCACTGCCACGGCCCGGGCCACGACCTCTGCCACGACCGGCACGGCGCCCCTCTCTTCGCCTGGCGTCCCCTTGGCCGCTTTCACCGAGGCGAGGTTCACGACAAGAGGCTTTTGTCCACCGCCGAGTGTCGAAACGCCGGACACGAACACGCTCACTGCCACGGCCCAGGCCGCGACCTCTGCCCAGGCGGCACGGCTAGGGGGCCACACGCGAACCCTGCCCCACCCCCCCACGATTTCTGAGGGGGAGGGTGGGGTTCAGACACATTCGTGCTCCGGGAGTAAGCATCACCGAGCGAAGTGATCCCCACCCTCCCCCTCGGAAATCGTGGGGGGGGGGGCAGGTTCGCGTGGCCCCCAAACGGCGCCCCTCGCCTCGCCCGGGCGTGTTTTCTCCCCCCCGGGCTCCCGGCGCCCCCCCCCCCCGCGCGGCCGCGCGCGCGCGCCTGCCGGGCCAACTGCGCCGCCCGCCCCCCGCCCGCCCCCCCCCCCCTGTTGCGAGAGCGTCGGGGGGGTGGACACGAAGCCCCCGCCCCGACGCGTCTCGGGGGCGGCGGAGAGGGGGGGGGTGAGGACCGGGGGGTGTCGGGGGTGGACGAACCCCCCGCCCCGACGCGTCTCGGGGGCGGCAGAGGGGTGTGAGGACCGGGGGGTGGTGGTGGATCTCATTATTCTGGACGTCCGAAATGGGTACGGAAAGAATGGGTACAGTGCCCAACAGCAGTTCCTGTGCATTCTGAGCAGGACTCGCTGTCCGCGCCGCCGCGGCCTGTGTCCATTCGAGACAGAAGGCCGCCTGCCCAACAGCGGCCGCTGTTTGTTTGGGACAACATTTGTTGTTGGGCATTGTACCCATTTCTTCCGTACCCATTTCGGGCGTCCAAAGAGAGGGGGGTGAGGACCAGGGGGGTGGATCTCATGGCGGGGGCCAAGATAGTTCCCCCGAGTTTCAGGGCGTCTCTTCTTATTTCACTACGCCCCTGGCCCCCCCCCCCGCTGGGCCGCGCACATGCCGCCAGTCATGATCTGCACCCCCCCCCCTCTTGGACACCCCTCTCTTGGCCGCTCCCGAACGTCGATTGGTGAATTGTCCGTTTTCGGCTCTGGAGAGGGCGCCGCGGCCGTTGTTTTCCAGGCTTGCGCCCGCCAGGTTCGGGCCTGGGGTCGTTTTCACCATCACTAGGCCGCGTTCTGCTAGAGGGGGTTCTGTCCGTCCCCGAGAGCGATGCCCGTGCGAGGGACCAGTCGCCTTCCCAAGGGTACCTCCTGCATCCTTGCCTCCCGTCCTTGACCGCTCTCTCGATGGCCAGCCCCGCTCGAGAAGCCTTGGCGGGGGCGCCCTGGGGGCATGCACCCTCAGCGTGTATCCTTGCGATCGACCTTGACCCTACCCCCCCCCCGCCCTCGTGGGCGGCCCGAGAGTTGCAGAAGCCGAAGCTTCAGGAGGCAGGGGCCGACCCACGAGCACAAAGCGAGAACGAAGAACCATGCCCAGGTCGATCCCTGATCGGTGCTCAGGGAGGTGTGTGCGGGTGTGAGACGCGGGTGCGACGCGGCAGGGAAGAAAACCATAACCCCACGAAACATGTGGGGAACCATAACCCCACTAAGCATGTGGGGAAAAAGAGGATGGGAAGAGTGAGGTGTGAGTGTCGCGGGTGCGGCGCGGCAGAGAAGAAAACCATAACCCCACGAAACATGTGGGGAACGAACAACCATGTCTAGGTCGATCCCTGATTGGTGCTCAGGGGGGGCCGAGCGCCGGGTCGAGGAAGACGAGGTTCAGGGACAGCGCTGGAGGGGACACGGCTTTCTCGGAGTCGAGGCCCGAGGTCCTCGGACGGCGGTCTTCCAGCCTCGGTCGATCCCTGATTGGTGCTCAGGGGGGGCCGAGCACTGGGTCGAGGAAGACGAGGTTCAGGGACAGCGCTGGAGGGGACGGCTTTCTCGGGGTCGAGGCCCGAGGTCCTCGGACGGCGGTCTTCCAGCCTCGGGATGCGCTCCAGCGGCTGCGCCTCGTCGATTCTCCAGGGCTGCGCTCTCGTTCCGAAGGGCCGCTGGAGGCCCGAGCCGTGGCCCCCGAAAAACAGTCAGAACCCACAAAAGCTTGGCATCGCTCGGACGTGTGCATTTTTTTCTCGGCGAGAGCCATCGAGGACCATCCTGGACCATCGGGCGAAAAAACACGCACGAACCCGAAACATGCACAGGAAACGGACGTCCGAGCGATGGCAAGAATGGGGGGGGGAGTGGCTTGGGGGGGGGGCGGGCACACCGACCCCCAATCGCCCACTGGTCGCCGATAGGGCCCCGATAGCCCACACCCCGCCCAGCAGCGTGCGGCTTCGCCATCGAGGGCCGATCGCCGAGGCATCGGTGACGTGCCGCCGACTGCAGCTCAGCTCGATGTTGGCCCCCTTGAGCCAGGGCCTGCCTCACGCCCCCCTCATGAGCACACTGCACAAGCAACATGCACATTCGGAGGTCCGCGCGGGTTGTTTTGGATCTGCGATGGAGCCCCCTGGCGGTGTCTCCGTCGCCGCCCCTCCGCGCGGACCCCTTCTGATAGTTTGTGTGTACGCTGGTTCGTTTGCTTCTTCTTCTTCTTACTCGTACATCAAGATCGATACACTCACTCAGCATTGCAACCTGGCACGTTCCTTGGCACGTTCCGTGGCGCGTCCTGTGGCGAGTCCCCCTGGCACGTCGCGCGGCGCGTCACGTCCCGTGGCACGTCCATTGGCACGTTCCGTAGCGCGTCCTCATGGCACGTCCTGCGGTGCGTCCCCATGGCACGTCCCCTGGCACGTCGCCTGGCGCGTCCCTTGGCACTTTCCGCGGCGCGTCTTCCTGGCATGCCCCCCTGTGAATTAGCTCTGGGGCAGCTACTATGTGCTCAGGCAGCTCGAGCTTAAGATCCAGGTCAGTTCGGTCAGGACTCGGATGCAAAGGAGGACTCGATCCACAACGCTATAGAGCACACTCGCGGCATGGCACAACGCAGTTCAGCACGGCCCTCGGCACGGTACATCAAGATCGATCCACTCAGCATTGCATTTGCCCGTCGCCTAAGCAGGTGCCTTTGAAACGTTGCCATGTCTTACATTTACATATTCCTTTCTAGGTTCGTGGGTCGATCATGTTTTCCCCGATTCTTGTTTCGCCCGCTTCCCCTGTCTTTCAAAGCGCACTAAGTCGGGGCTGCTCAACGCATGCCGTCGCCGTCGCCATCACCGTCGCCGTCGCCGTCGCCGTCGCCGCCGTCGTCGTCGTCGCCGTCGTCGCCGTCGTCGTCGTCGCCGTCGTCGCCGTCTTCAACGTCGTCACCGTCGTCACGGTCGTCATCGTCGTCGTCGTCGTCGTCGTCGTCGTCGTCGTCGTCGTCGTCGTCTTGTCGATGGGTGTGGTCGTGGTTACCGTCGCCGTCGCCGTCGCCGTCGCCGCTGCCGACGCCGACCGCCGACGCCGTCGCTGACGCCGACCGCCTGCGAGGGGTGGCACAAGCAGGCCTCCCAGCTGCAGCTCCGCGAGGACCCCAGGGGGGAGGAGGA